GCTTTGTTACATAGCTTTTCTGTGTCCTCATGATTTGCTAAACTTCTTTTTAAGATGAAAACAAGAGCAAGCGGGTGATTCCAGTAGGGTAAGAAGAGCGGCGTGGTGCCAGCTCGGAGGAACTGGACACTGGGCAGCCCAGGAGCGTCCCTAGGTTGTGCACCTCCTTTCACTCCGACAAGTGTCCAGTGTGGACCATAAATTACCTGGTCATGAGGAAATGTTTAAAAACGTGAACAAGACTACATAAACAATTTCAGTGATCAGTTGGAGGAAATTAAATGCACCTTGTCTTTCCCTCCCAACTTGTCTGTCTACCCCTTAACTCCCCAGGATGATGACAAGAGCTTTAGGAGAGCGCCTTCCTGGCGGAAGAAGTTTAGACCAAAGGACATTCGTGGCCTAGCTGCTGGGTCAGCAGAGACGCTCCCTGCAAACTTCAGGGTCACATCTTCAATGTCGTCACCCTCTATGCAGCCAAAGAAGATGCAGATGGACGGTGGGTCGTGTGGGCTGTTGGCTGGTCATTTGTCAAGGGTGTGCTTGGCTTTGTACGTGGAGCATTCACGGCCACCTTGAATGTACTACATTTACATGTACTACAAGGCCTGTTTGATGTACTACAAAGCCGTGGGCTGCTATTGCATGGCCAGGTTTGAATGTTTCAGAATTAACCCTAACATTTGTTTTTAAAAGATCTGTTTTGCTTTAATTCTTCTTTGGTTGACTCTTAGCATCTCAGGGCTCCCATCTGACCAGGCCAGGAGTGTCCCTCTGTGTTGCCAGAGTGTGAGACTGATGTCCATGTTTGTGACCCGTGGAGGGACAGGCAACACTAGGCACTCCTTCCATAAAAACGCTGTCTAGTAGCTTCCAAAGGGAACTCTGATGCTGTAGTAGTTAAGGTGTTTGGCTGCTAACCAAAAGGTTGGTGGTTTGAACCCACCAGCTGCTCTGTGGAAGAAAGATGAGGCCATCTGCTTCCATAAAGATCGACAGCCTTGAAAGCCAGTGGGAGCTGCTGAGAGTTGGAATTGACTCGCCAGCAGTGAGTTTGGTTTTGGTTTGGTTTAGTAGCTTCCATGCCACACCATTTATTCCCAAGTCTTCTGTTAATTCCACTGGGGAAGTGACCAGGTGAATGTGACATCACAGTGTCCCTTTTGGAGGTGCTGCCTTCCCTCTGTCCCTCCTGCTGCCGCCCACGTGCCCGTTGCAGGACGGGATGGGAGGAGAGCCTCGGGAACCCATGGCACAGCTCGGTCCCATGCGACACGCCGGTGGGAGGTGGCACTGCCCGCACGGCCGCAGACACAGTTGGGGAGTCACCCTGGACAGGGGTGAAGAGTGCACCTCTGAGCCCTGGCCTCCCACCTGCTGAAAGATGGCTGCGTGCAGCAGTGCTCACAGTGCTCACGGGCCGCTCTGCCTTCACGAGCATGGGACCTGCCTCACCTTCCCCATCTGGAGTGCCCTCCTCACAGGCGGTTGAGGGATAGATGAGTGACTCACATGAGGCCCTTAGAGCAGCACGTGATCCCCCTGTGGTGTTGGGTGTGGTCAGCATGTTGTGTTTGGCTTTCAGCAGACTCCGCCTCCCTTGTCATTGGGACGAGATGGAAGGGCAGCTGGAGGGCACTGAGTGTTTACGCCTGCCCCCCATAGGGCCGCTCACAGCCATGAGCTGGTTTATGACTGTGGCCCTCACTCGCCTGCACAAGCCTGGAGGAGAGGCCGCTCCGTGGCCTGTGTCGTGCTGGGACTCGGGGCGAGGATGGTGCACAGGGCAGTGTCCTGAATCTGGCTGGCGGTGCTCTGACGCCGGGAGAACCAGCAGCTCTGTAAGGGTTAGCCTTCGTCTCCCGAGCACGCCGAGACCTGTACACATCCACCTGGAACCGGGCCTTCCACGCGGCCTTTGTTAGCGTCCTGAGCAGTCTTAGGGCGTCCCTCACCAGCAGTTTCTAGTGGCCTCTTTGTAGATCACATTTCCTATCACGTGATAACAGCAACACTGACAGTAGAGTGCAGGGAGATGACAAATGTTCCAGACAGGCTGTAGGGAGTATGTGACACAGGACGGGGCCTTGCCCTCGCAGGAACCACCAGGGCCTACGCTGGGTGAGGTGGATTGTCCTGGGGGCTTTCTAAATGAGGGCAGCGAGGACTCATTGTCCCCAGCAGCCTCGCTGTCTTCCCACCTCTCTTAGGTGGTGGCTGGGTGGTGACAGTGTGCTCCTGTTCTACCTGAAAGGAACAGCACATTTTGCTACAGTTTTGAAAGTTTCTTGTTATTTTGAGGAAAGGAGGGAGCTTACCTAGTGGCACAGCAGGTAAGGTGTTTGGTTGCTAGCCAGAAAGTTGGCAGTTCAAACCTATCATCTGCTCTGTAGGAGGAAAACGAGGCAATCTTCCATGTATTTACAGCCTTGGAAACCCTACGGGGGTCACTGTGAGTCAGAATTGACTCAGTGGCAGTGAGTTTACCTCCCCACGGGGCAGGGCAGTGGGTTCTAAAGCAAGAAGGTTGGGTCAGTGTTATTTCAGGTGGGTGCTGAGATGGGTGCTGGTGTCCTCAGATGAGTCTGTCCTCCCATCGCTGCAGCCATGCAAGATCTAGGTCAGAAAGCCCAGCGCCGCGGTCCTGCGTGACTGAGTGTTACTTAGAAATGGCCTCCCTAGAAGCAGCTGCTACTGGCTGACTTGTGCACAGAGGCCCCAGACCAGTGTGGGCACTCCCAGAGCTCTTCAAGGGAGAAGGGGCCAGCCCTGGGCGACCCTTGGACCCTCATAGCTCGCTGCCTGCACCCTGCAGAGGGTGTCACTGAGAGCCCTCAGGGTGTCCGTGGGGGGATGTGTGTGTCTGCTCGCCAGCTGTGTGTGACTGCCCTGGGAGACTAACTGCACGCTGTGTTCTGCACGCTCCTCTTGGGTCGTGGGGACAGGCGATGTGTCGGGGACACAGAGGCTGGATTCGGCTACCGTGCGGACCTATTCCTGCTAACGCCGGCTGTCGGTGAGTAGAGCGCGTGGCCCTGTGCAGAGGCCCCTGGACTCCAAGAGCTGAGCCTGACGGCAGCCCAGCCCTGCGAGTCCGTTAGGCAGCGACCTGGTGGACACAGCACCTCTACGCTGTTGTGTAGCTGGGCTTCAGGTGCTTGCTGGGGTCCGTGCAGCCGAGGTTCCTCAGGGGAGAAATGTATTCCTGCTTCTTCCTTGGCCTTGTTTTAATTGTCTGCTAATGCCTTCCTCTCTCTTTGGGGAGACGCTGGAAAGAGCAGACCAGGGCAGGAAGGACCTGGCACGAGTCAGCCCAGCAGTGGCACGAGTGCGTTCTGCCCTGACTCAGTTCACACCCTGTCACCTCCCACACTGGCCGACGCTGGTGGGCTTGACGGAATGCACGCTGGGGTCTGAAGTGAGGCCCCAGTGTGTGGGTTACCACGTGCTGTCCTGCTTCATGGGGCCACATGAGCACTGCCTGCCTTCCAATTCTGAGACACTGGTTTTCAAACCAGACCACTCTGTCATCACAGGGATGTCAGGCGGCGGCCCTGCCCCTGCAGCCCGCCCCGCCTCTGCTCTGCTCCCTGCTGCTCTGTCCTGGGCCAGTGTGTGCCCTGGGCCACTGCGTGGCTTTTAAGGATTGGTAGCTTCTAGCCCTGTGGACAATGAGGTCCATCAGGAACCCCTCGCTGTGTTCCTAGCCCCTCCAGGTGTGTTAGCTAGCACGTCTCAGAGCATCCAAAGCCCGGAAAGGTGGGGTGGGCTGGGGATCCGTGGGGGGTGGCCTTGGAGCTGGGGTCCTTGGGCGGCATGGGGTCTGAGCCTCGTGTTTCTCTCTCTCCTCCAGTCTACCCACACTACTTCTACAGATAAGGGCGAAGCATTTGGAAACCAACCGAGACTCCGTTCTAGAATTCGGCAGAATCTTTCATTTGTTAATACTTGTTACATGGACCTGAAGATATTTTATTACAGAGTTTTTAATTAGTGAAAAATTCATGAATACCATAGAGAGAATATTTTAGAATTTAATGTTTCTTATATTTATGTAAACATGAGTCTTCATTTATATAGTTACTTACTTTTTCATGTATATCCAGGCTATAAATATCCTTTCAAATCAATTCATGTTCTTATATCTAATTTTAGTCTTTCAAATGAATGTACTGTAATGCTTGTATGTACAAATCCTATGAATAGAGGGCTTTTGTAAATTATGCATTTATTGTAATTACTGTTGTTTAATTTTTTAATAATAAAACATGACAGAGAACAGGATTTTACTATGTTTGTAAAGCTCCCCCAGCAGTAGGCTCCACCTTGTGCGTAAACCAGCGCTACAACAATCATTTTGAAACAAGACTGAATTTTAACCAACTCCTATCGGATTTTAATGACTGACCTTAACTAAGCTTTTTCTAGCAAGACATGCTTTATCCTGCAGCGCGAGCAGCTTTCCGGCGTCTGCTGGTAAACGTCAGATGCCTGGTGCTCAACGGGGCTTGCACAGAGCTCTGCAGCTCGCCTCGGCCGCCGGCAGCCTGAGCCCACGCCACCGGAGGACGGAGACTGGGCGGGGCCTGCCTCCGGGGCGACGCTGTGGACGGGGCCTCGGGCACCACAACTCAGAGGACCAATCACAAAGCGCGGGGCCTCGCGGAGACGGAGCGCGAGATCCGGAAGTCAGGGCAGCGCACCCGAATAAAGGCCTTATTTTCTGATGTAAGTCATCTTTCTACGTTCGTTTGTAAACATGTTTGAAGAATGGATCTAGACGTACATTTTTAGATTTTGATGATGCAGCCATTTTGAATTGTGTAAGTAGCAGACGCAACTTTTACTTTTTACACGGTGTATTAAAAAGCCGGCGAGAGAGGTTCAGATCGTGGCGCGTATTTATTGGGCAGCTGATGTGCAGATCGATTGAGCGTGTCTTTGCCGTTTTGGTTTCTGCTCTTAATTTACCTGTACAATTCACTGTTCCTGTTGCATTTTTCTATTAATCTTCTGTGAACTTCCTGATGTAACAAAGTATGTACAGTCTACTTTTGAACTATTTTTATCACAGTATTATTTATTGCTTTCTTTCAATAAAGTACTGAAGCATTTTCCACTGCCAATAAAAAATACAAGCGTAAGCGGTAACGACGCCGAAGGCTGCTGCGGCTGTTCTCTCTCACTCTGTAGGGGTTAGCTGGGAGGCAGGGTCACCACGTGGAGGTTAGAGAAGTCAAGGCTGCCGGGAAAACGCTGGCCGACCCAAGTGTAGGCGCAGTGTCTCCCAGCCCTCTCTTCCGAAGACCCGAGGGACCGGAAGGGCGCAGGGCGGGGCGGGGCAGGCTCAACACCGGGACTAGCCCTGGCAGTGGCTGTGCTTTGGGCTTTGCTTCCCCGAAGATTGACAGGCAGTTCCACTCTGTCCTCTAGGGGCGCTGTGGGTCTAAACGCTACAGCAATGGGTCTCCTTTTCTGGCTCCGGTGGCGTAGCGCCTAAGGCACTTGACTGCTAACCAGAAGGCGGGCGGTTCAA